TAGAACTAGGTGAGTACGAGCGGGTTTTTTCGTAAATATATTTTGTTTTATATTTTTCACCTAAATATTATTTAAGTATATTTTAAATATTTTCTATTGGTTGTGTAATAGCTAAAATTTATAAATAAAAACTAAAATCATGTTTTTTTTACACTTGTCGGAAAATATATAACCTTATCTATTCACTTTTTATCGCGGTAACATATTGAAAAAACATATTTACCAGTGTTTATGTATACCACTATAACATGATTTCCGACATGGTTTTGTCCAATGATAATATATTTACCAAAACAATTTAGTTATATTCTTTTGGTTTTAAATTTTGCCAATTTAGTTATATTTAAAACCATTTAATTTTGAAATTGATCTTTAGTACTTTTTGATGTCCTAATTTGTTCGTTTTTGTTTCGTGAAAATAATTTAAATTATTGTGTACATATATTTCATGCATTCAAGAGACTAACCTTAACTATCAACATTCTGCTTGATGGTGATCTTGTCCCTAAGATCAGGAGTGAAATGATCCTTTGTTTCTTGCTATGTATCTTAACGCAGCCATGGTCCCTCTGTTTGCTTCCAAATACCTATAATCGGGGAAACACCCAATTCTCCCATGAATTCAAGGTTTCCGATTATTTATACATGATCTATTGACCCATGCCAAAATACGCATGAAATTTTTTTATTTTTAAATTTACTACATAAAGTATTAAAATACGATAAATTATCACAAATTCGTTGACGGAGTCAGTTTCCCGTTAAAAAATACTAACGTGGTTACGGTTTAGAAGAAGAAAAAGAAGTGAAGTAGATCTCAGAGATCTCCAGCTAAATCTCGGAGTCGGGTTACGAGTAATAATTATCCGAGCCAAAGAACCGATCAATCTCTTCGTAAGAGAAACATCGAAGGGGCTAGGTGAGATTCGGGTCGGGTTTCGTACCCGACTAAGAGATCCGGAAGAAAATCGAGATCGTCGGCGACTAACAGAGCCGTGATGGATTCGAATCAGAGTCGGGTGGGTGGAGCAAGGATTAGAAAGAACAATCAGTCTACGGGTCGGGTTAGGTTAGGTTAAATCTGAACAAATACAATTGTCTTGTTAAGTAGAAATAAAGTATACCGAACAGTACAAACTTTATTCCGTCAAAAGTGATAGACTCTCCTTTAGTTACGACTCTCACCTGGGCTAGAATCCTTTGTATTCCATTTAAATTTTTAATAAATTAAAACGAAGTCGTTTATTTAAAAATCAGTTCATTAAGAAATGTTTTTTTAATTATAACAAAACTGTTTATTTTCCAAGTGTCATCCACATCATCATATTTTTTTCACGGGAAACTGACTTCTCCGTCTATGAATTTGTGAGAATTTACCGTATTTTAATATTTCATGTGGTAAATTTAAAAATAAAACGAATTCATGTGTGTTTTGACATGAATCAATAGTTCATCTATAAATAATCGAAAACCCAAGGGAGAATTGGCCGTTTTCCCAAAAAACAACTACAAATATTTCTTCTGACAATTTTAATTCTAATCGATTCAATAACTGATAATAATCAAACAACTAAAATGATTAAGGAATAACCAGTTCACTTAATTCACCAACTTCTCACCAATAAATAACGACAGATTTGATGAAACAACTTCCTTTAAATAAAATAAATACCCACGGTAGGTATCGTAGGTATCGAGTCTAAAAATTATTATGAACAACCGAAGATGCGGTTGTTTAGTTGTAATTGTAATATAAAGAGGTTATTTTTTTGCGCCCTGAACTCGAACTTTATTTTGATAGAAATGATTATTCTTGAAAGACTAACTCTAGATACCAAAAAATTTATGAACCAAAAGTTCAGAATTCTCATTGTTTATTTAAAAATAAATAAATATTATGAACAATGATTCGTTATAAACAAGCACAAGAGAAAGATTCTTATTTCTATGTGTACATTCACAAACACAACATAAATAAATATTAAATTACACACATTTACACTTCAAATTATAAGTTAATAAAACACCAAGCATCCCACAAATACTCACAACACAAACATAACTCTCAAGTTCGTTGTCACCAAAAGACTCTTTAGCATGCAAAACCTGTCTCCGGTTCCAAACTTCGGTTCACTTCCTCAGTAACAAACCGGTCAGCATCCTGTGTGGTTTGATCATAAGGGTCTTCTTTAGAGATCACTAGAGTCTTACGAGTTTCATGCCGCCTCGAACCTCCTTTTGCTCTGTTCCCTTCTTTTGGATTTCTCCGCCCTAGTTTTGGCGATTTTGCTCGAGTTGGAGGAGGCTGCATAATGCAAAGTTAACAACTCGAAGCGGGTTTTAAAAGTTTACGGGGTAATATCTCTTTTTATGAATGTTGTAGTGGCATTGTAGACAACCTTGTGTGTTACCTTCTTAAGTTCAACCTTTGGAGGAGGCCCTTCGTTGTAAAAGTTTGGCATTGGGTTTGCTTTGAACATCAAACTCTTTCTTAATTGCCTTAAGGCCGCATCGTTTTCTTCCTTTAAATTTAGAGTTTCGCGGGAGAGAAAAGAATAGATCAGAAACATTAAGCATTTGTTATAAAATTAAAGCTTAAAGGATCAGAGCATGGCACCTTGTTTCTTGCTTCGCTCTGTGTTTTCTCGGCCTCCATGGCTTGGTGTTTCTCCTCCAGTTTTGTATAGAACTAAAGAACACAACAATCAATTAAAGCCGATACAGTGTATCGGAAACTTCTGAAAGTGTATATGGTAGGTAGAAAAGACAAGTAACAAGAACAAAAAACAAATATTCACCTCCTTCCGCTTCTCAGCACGCTCAGTGGATCGAAAGGAAGGAGCTGCGGTGACAATAGTTCTTGATTTAGAAGACTTTGCAGCCGATGTGGCACTATCAACAATAATCAAGACTTGATATCATCAAATGCGCAAGAGAGAAAATGGTAGACAATGTAAGTTACAAAGAAATAAATTTTGAAGAGAATGAAACATACTAAGACGCAACAGAGCAAGAATCTTCCTCATCAGAAAGCTTCTTGTTTTTCGGCTGCAATGGTTTCCTAGGTACCTGCAGTCACAAAAGTTTTTTTGGTGTTATGGTTAGACAAAGCAATTGAGGTTCTTGTTAACAATATCATGAATATTCAGGAAAGTCGGTATAATAACATAAAATCCTTACCTTTGTATCCTGATTTTCTACTTTACTGTACCCATCAGGAAATATTTTCGACACAGCCGCAGATGAAGCACGCTTCTCAGTAGCCAAAGCGAAAGGCTGTGGAACGGTGTTCCTTATTTTGATACCCCCACGACCCGATTTTGAAGCATGTTTTGCTGGTAAAACCAACTTATTTACCGGTTTAGCACCTCCAACATCCTTTCTCAACGCAGCTATCTCAATATCGCCATCTTCAAATGGCTTAGCAACCGGAATCTCATTGGTACATTCTTTAACGTCGTATTCTCTTACTTCATTGTTCTCTTCTGTAAATAGATGCTCTGTATTTCCATTAGCCTCATCACATGATTCTGAATCTAAGGGAGGCACAAAAACATTTTCTTGATTTGGATTACACGAATCGCCATTAGCATAGACAACCACACCATCTGGCTCCTTGTCCATACAGATATCTGTCACAAAACTCCAATCAAATAAGTAAAATGGAAATCAAGAATTGTCATGTCAAATGAGTTCTCCAAGTTGCGATCATATTACACAGAATCTATACGAAACCGAGCAACGGCTAGACAAACTTACCTTGCAAGCGTATTTACGATATGATTCTATACGAGAGATATTTGGTATACTCAACAAAGGAAACTATACTATGCTTCTTTAGCATCATAGACAATATATATACACCTCAAATTTTCCTAATTAGTATAATAACTAAAGTATGTTTAGTTACAAATGATGACCAAGAATTCAACTAACCACCTAAATTATTCCCTTAAAAGCATTAGGCTAAACCAAATGTGGGACCTCAAAGACAAATACAGCTTTTTGTTCTAAGGAAAACAATTTCGTATGCTTTATTTTGTTCAAAGGAAAACAATTTAGTATTCTAAAGCATAAGACAAATATAATAATAATAAGCAACTTTAAATTTCTCTAAAGATAAACTATAAAGTATAAACTGTACACACGGCCAATTCTCTTATGCTTTTTGCATAGTCAAGAATCAACGAAGAAAAGACACTTTGTTAAACGCATAAAACCATCATTGCTTGGACCAAAACATAAACTTTGGGACTTTCTTTGTCGAATATCATATAAAATTAACCAAAACACTCAATATGAAAACTAAATTTAACAATAAGAAACTCAAATTTTAGTTGTTTAACAAGCTGATGCCTATTGCATTTAAACAAAAAATGTACATGCAACTAAAGAAACCTCAAGTTTACTTCATTTCGAAGCTAAACAGAACTATTTTCCTAAATTTTCTCAGAATCGAACCATAAAAATGAAAATGTAGAGAAAAAGAGGATTCTAAGTGACCTCTATGAAACTATGAACATCAAATCGCAATCAAGAAACGCCAAAATCTCAAACCA